CATCATTGTCACGTTGTGAGCTCTTCCTATACCCAGGTACCCAAGTACTCAGGTCTGGCACTGGCAGGACCCAAGCGGAGCAAGCCCAGATACAGACAGAAGAAATGAGTCCTGTGTTCCCTTAGCTCAGGGTCTCCTCCCACTGYCTGTGGCTTGTCTCTGATTGACGATGAAGCTCAGACAAGTCAGGAGTGGCTTGAGGGCTGCAGGGGCAGTGGTGGAGTTTCCTGCAGACTCCTGTGTGGAGGCAGGTCCCTGTAGTGGGCAGTGGATGAAGTAGGAGAGGAGGTGGTTCTCTCAGCAGGAACCCAGGCCGTGATAGGGTGCTGTCCTTGGTTCATACTCCGCCTGCTCCAGGAAGCAAGGGTGGTCAAGTCAATGTTACAGGAGCCTGCACATTCCTGGTTTTCAGAGAGTGGTTAAAAAAAAAAAAAAAARRAAARAAAAGAAAAAAAGGTTTCATATACACCAGGAGAGCTGGGTCTGAGGAGTTTTAATGAGGTTTAAGGAGGAGGTGTCCTGGCAAATCCTATCAGCCAGAACCCGCCCCCCCCACCCCCATCCCTGTTCTTGCCTAGGGGTTTCTGTGACTCTGACCACCTACTTCCTGTTTCTTTAAGCATCTTGTAATCATTTTTTAAAATATTTGGTTTTTAGTTATAGGTGGACACAATATCTTTATTTTACTGTTATGTGGTGCTGAGGGTCAAACCCAGTGCCTCACTCATGCGAGGCAAGCACTCTACCACTGAATCACAATCCCAGCCCCGCAACTTGTAATTGTCATACATAAAATCCTTACCTAGAAATAGTACAACTTACCTGAGAAGTCCGAAGCACCTTTGACTGTCCTCCCAGGCCCGTCTGTGTGGTTCTGCGGGAGCCCTGATCCCAGAGGGAGGAGCTCACTGTCCTGTAGGACCCCGGACTGGCAGAGTTGTCTGTAGCTGTGGCTCTGACAGGACTGGAATTGTGGATCATCTTCCTGACCGAGGAGTGGCTCAGGTTTTCTCTGGGTGGTTCTGAGCAGCCATATTGCACCTGCACTTGTAGTACGTGGCATGTATTGCACACACGTCTGTGTGGGGCCTGTGTCTCCAGTGGGTCAGTGTGGCTGCTCAGCTGCTGGTGCTGGCCGTGGCTTTGCCCTCTGTGTTCAGCGGGTCGGCCTCGCTCTTGTCCTGGACCTGTGGGCACCCGTTGCAGGCTCTTTCTGTCTTCTGCTTTCCTTGGGTGCAGCTGGCTGTTGTTGGTTGGTGGCTGCCCCTTTCGCAGGGGTCCTGCAGCTAATTGTGACTGGCCAGCCTGGTGTGGAGCGTGCTGCCCCTCATGATGTCTGCCTCCTCTAGGTGTCTTAGGGCAAGGCTGCCTTCTCCTCTGTCCCTGAGCCCGGGCGCTTGTCAGGTCCCTTCCCTCCCACCAGGTGGAAGAAGAGCATTACCTAGGGGCACAATCGCCTGCCCGCCCTGGGGTCTCACCAAGTACACTCCTCYAGCTCTTCTTCCCCTGGGCTCCCGAGAGGGCCTTCTGCTCATTTGAGCTGAGTTAGTGCCACTTGTCTGCGCTTTTTCTCCTAAAAATCTGCCAACTTCTCCATGTGCCCTGTATCCCCTTTGTTCCTGGGTTTGACCTRTTTTTTTTTCCTTTGTGCCCATGCCCAGGCTGGAAGCAGCAGAGAGCAGTGGTACCGTGTTGTCTGAGGATGCTTCTTGTATGTGGATTGACTTGTCACTTCAGCACTGCTTCATCTGCTGGCTGAATTCCTGCCCCGCACCACCCTTGGTGTTCTGGCRAGGCTTATGGAGGAGGAGCTGGGCTCATTCTGTTTGCCAGGGCTCCCAGCAGAGATGGGCCCTCTCTGAGCAGTGCTGAGCCGTTGCCTGGGCAGGGTCCCCTGCAGGCACCAAGACCTGTCTGTCAGAAAGCTGGTGTCTTCCTTGCTCTCCTGTGGCTTCCTTAGGGAGTGCCGTCCTGCCTGGGACTCACTCCCACCACAGTGTTCTTCCRTTGCATTTCTAACAGTGCATGTGGCATAGGAAACTGTAAAGGAGAAGTATGTGTGATTCCTGGCATACGCAGGTAACTGAGGGGCCCACAAATTTCTTRTCTTCAGCAGATGCAGCCCTTCAGTATATCCATACTCTTGCGCTTGGGCCATGGCCAACTCCTATGGCTGTTGAGTTTGGATCCCTCCACTATTTTGGAGGTACACAGGACCAGAGTCAACCTTGGAAGTTTAATGTCATTTAAATGCTGACTTTTGTGCCATAGAAGGCTACTTCTGTTTAAACAAGTGATTTTGAAGGAAGTGCTACTTGGAATTTAGATGCAGGCCATCATACCTGAAGATCTGAAAGAGTGGTGGTGTGCTTCTGTTCATGGAGTGAGGGTTTGAATTCTGCTTCCACATGGTCTAGGTAGCCTGGGGGGGAGCATGGCCCACCAGTGCCTGTGCCTCTGTGCCGACGGGGAGGGGTACCCCAGTCTTCCTTAAATAAGCAGCTTCTAACAATGGCTTCTGGTGCCTCTCTTGGGGATGGTCTAGTTTCGAAGACCATGCGCACCATGGCTCCTCCATTTCCAGTGGAGAAGTTGCCAATAAGTTGCCAGCACAGTGCACCGTGGACACATATCGTGGTCTGGGCTCCCCGGCACCTTTCTGYTTCCTTTCCCTCCAGCCCCTTCACCTCAGCAGCTGGGTAAGAACTTCCTGCAGTGTTCCAGGAAGCTGGATGCACTGAAGAACCACGTCTGCTGAAGACAGGAAATATGTGGGCCCCTCAGTTACCTGCGTGTGCCAGGAATCACATGCACTTCTCGTTTACAGTTTCCTATGCCACATGCACTGTTAGAAATGCAGTGGAAGACATTGGGGTGGGAGTGAGTCCCAGGCAAGACTGCACTCCCTAAGGAAGCCCAGCAGAGTCCAGGCTCTGCTGCTCAGGCTCTGTTACATTGAACCCACAGTGGTCCTCTCATTTGCTGTGTGAAGCATGAAGTTCCAGGTGGGCTGTGGTGTGCACATGTTGCTTCAAGAAGTGACAAAGGGATGAAGGAAGACCATGTGATGGAGCTAGAGGTGATTTGTTTTGAGATGAGAGCCTTCTGTCGCTGGCACAGCCAGCCACTCAGTGGCCCTGAGCTCCTTGGCCTCTGCCATGGGGTCATGGCGGACATTGCTAGTGTGCAGGTACTTCGTTGAGGACCCTAGAGGAAGCCCGTGTAGTAGTGAGGCCCAGAGCACCATGCCATAGGCAAACGAACAGATCAGGAGTATTCTGGCAAACGTCACCACCGCAGAGGTGGCCSTGTGATCCTGTGAGGGCACTGTCCCATCTCACAGTGGGCTGTTTGCAGAAATGTCRCATGTGTTCATGTCCTTATTAGAATTTTCCCCTTTGGATAAGTATATCCTGTGTTTTTATGTCACAACCTGAAGTTGAGTTGGTCCTGCCTGGGGCTGGGCCACATGTGGTGGATCTGCACTGTTGGTTCCTTCTGGTTTCTTGCCGCACAGCAGGGCTGTGTGGAGGCCTCCTGGCCATAGGCGGGCACTTCTGCATCTGAGTGTCTTCTCAACCCTGCGGCCCCACTCTGCCTGTGGGTCCAGCTGCTGCCCCCATCCTTGGCCTTGGGGTGGCAGTGAACCTGACTGTGGCTTCTCCTCTGCTCCTGCCCCCCTAACATCCCAAAGGCCCTTTCTGCTCTCAATGGTCACCCTGTCGGGACRTCCCTGCAAGGCTCTGCCTGTCCTGTGCTCCAGAAAGCAGGGCAACAAGGCCATACCACCCTCTGCTCAGATGACATCTGGGCTCCTGGGTTGCCTTATGTGTGTCTGTCTGAGCTTTGCTGCCTGGGAGTGTAGGTCTGCATGGCCGGCCGTGTAACTGTCAGGATTCAGGAAGTCTGTTGTCAAAGGTGAATACTGGGCCTCTCTGAAATGGCAGTTTAGGGTAAGTTGAGCATACTGCAGAGACATGGAGTCCTTGCTAGTGACTTCAGAAACATGAAGTTGGGGATCTTGGGAYCTCGGAGACAGTGCAGTGTGGGGACAGGGATGGTACTGCAGTTAGGTAGGCCAGTCTAGGCTCAGGCCTGAGTCCAAGCTCTGCTGCTCAGGCTTTGTTACATTGGGCAAGTTATGCTCTGTACCAGTGTCSTCCTCTGCTTCACAGCCATATAGAATTCCCCAAGGATATGAGACAACTTTGGGACCTGGTGCCTGCTCAACAGTTGGCTTCAGTGATTCCCATATGGTCAAAAGTGCCTATGTGCAAGTGTGCACATGCTTACACATATGTGCCAGCTTGTGCCGACACAGGCTCGTGTATACCCTCATGTACATCCTCACAGTCATACTTTGTACAGATGTGCTTATACAGTCTCATGCACACTCACATTCTCACATTCATACACACCTTGCAAATCATTCACACATATGCCTGTGATGCTCGTGATAGCGCTCACATGTGCTCACACATGAGACTCACATGCACAATGCACACATGTTCTTGGGCACACTTGTGCACACATGTAGAGCTATACACATCCACACACATGCTTACTCCTGCAGTTGCATTCCCTTACACAGTTTATACACACATGAACAGACATATGCTGATGTGCACACATGCTCACACATGCACATACCTGGGTGGCACTCTCATTTGCTGGTGGCCTACAGGTGGTGTCTTTAAGATGATGATCTGCTTGTTCAATTTTTGGGAGCTATCCAGACTCTGAAGCCCAAAGTGTTTCTTTTTCTGATTGGAGAATGTTGCCTCTAGATTATTGAAGAAGTTCTAAGAAACTCTGAATCTTTTCTAAGGAATCTATGGTGATGGAAAGAGGGAGAACACTGGAAATGAAAGTAGCTGGGCATGTCAGGGAGGCTCTTCCAGCCTCTGTGGAGAAGCACCCTGGTGTRGAGGTGCAGCACCCCAACCTGTGATGCCAGGGCTGGGGGCGGCTTGTGCCTGACCTTGTGCTCTTCTCTTCAGGTCGTGCACACCCACAAGCCTCATTTCATGGCCCTGCACTGCCAGGAGTTCGGAGGAAAGAACTATGAGGCCTCCATGTCCCACGTGGACAAGTTTGTCAAGTAAGTCTCGGGACAGGTTTCTGTGGGCTGCAGGGTGGGGGTAGGGTGTGTCATCTCCGTCTTTACCATTCAGGACTAAAACGTCCATCATGTATATACATATGCCCTCTTTGTTCATTCATTCCTTGATGGACACTGAGGCTGGTTCCATAGTTTGGCTGCTGTGAATTGTGCTGCTGTAGACATGGGTGTGCATGATCACCGTAGTGTGGTGACTCCAGTTCTTGAGACTAAATGCCGAGGAGCGGTATAACMGGGTCATAGGGTGGTTCCATTCCTAGCCTTGTGAGGGTTTCCATAGCACTTGTATTGACTCTCAGTGCCACCATCAGTGTAGAAATGTTCCTTTTCTCCATGTCCTCAAGAGGGACTTCTTGAACAGGGTGCTTCTGCTAGAAATTTGTSTTGAGGTCTGCAGAAATCCCAGGCCTTGAGAATTGTAGTGAATTGTACTTTACTAACATTCTGTAAAATACAATGCAGGTAAAAGGTAAAATCTGTATAAGCTCGTTTTGGAAAATGTTGAAGGCTGTCATTATGGRTGGTGTTTTCCAAGCGGGTCATGACATTAGTGTCCTTCCTTTCTGTCTCTGACAAGTGTGGTCTTGAACCTGCTGGGTCTTGTCCCCAATCCTGTGCTCTGGCCTCCCGTGCAGGAGAAGTCGTGCCTTGTGACTTCAGGGCTGGCCATAGAAGGCCTCCATGCCATGAGGAAGGCACGCCATGTGCAGGTCCACATGGGGGCATCTGGGTCCACGGAGGGGGTTTCGAGCCCTCCAACCTGGTGTCTGATGTGAGGAGAAGAAGGCTTGTGGGGACTCTGTAGTGTCCTGCTGTTCTAGGCTGGGCGYTGGGAGTGACATTGCCACCCATGCCACCACTTGAGTTCCTCAAACACGACAGGGGTGGCTTTCAGGCTGAAAAACTTGCACATTTCCTCAAAATAAYTTGTAATTTGGGCAATTTTAATTTTTTCCCCTAACTCACCAAACTGATATAAAATGCTGTGGAGAAGCAGAGTGAACAACAGCCGGGACAGCCCTGAAGGGGAACAGGGAGGGACTTCTGCCCGCCTGACCACAGGCTGCTCTGCAGCAGAGGGACCAGGGCTGCAGGCTGCAGACACCAGGGCAGACAGCAGACGCAGGCCAGGCTGCGCCCCTTGTGCCCGGCTTGTGGTGCTGTGGGCTGCGTTTCCTGGACTGGGATCCCCAATTCCTGTCAGACAGGGCCACCACAGCCTGCACCGGCAGTCGCACTTGTAGAAAAGTAAAACTTTTCTTCAGTAAACTTTTCTTAAGACTAAGATTTAGGAGAATAGCTTCTTCATAGGTTGGAGACAGGCAGAGATTTCCTCACACGGGTCCAAAAAGTGCGGCTGATGAAAGGTAAGACTGGCAAGTTAATCGTGTTGAAATGAACCTCCTTGTTTAYAGAGCGGCACTCTACACACAGGGCATTCAGCCACACTGGGAAAACATCTGCAGAGCACTTCCTTACAAAATTAGGGTTTAAATATATTAACAACTCCTACAAGTTGTCAAAAAGAGGAAAGCAGGGTGGTTGAAGAGCAGGGMGAAGATGTGATGGAGGCCAGCGCACTGGGGAGCGGCTCCACCCTCCTGGGCGCCTTCCTCCCTGCCAGCCTCACGGGCCTGTTGCTTTTGCTGTGAATACCAGCTGTCCTTTAAGAAGGTCACGCAGTGGGCACTGCTGCCGCTGGCTGTTACCGGCTCCTCTGCACTCAGTGCTCACTCCTGGGATCCAGTCCTGTGGATTTCAGCACAGCTCTCCTCTGTCTGAGAATGTCTGTCTGTCATCCTGGARGCCATGTCTGTGGCCTGGAGCGCAAGCTTGTCATTTTGCTTGCCCCTTCAAGGCTCTCAAATGGCCGCCTGTGGCACTGCCACCCTGGAGAACTGGCCATCGTTCTTGACTAGTGTACTTCACCCCCGACTGCCAGATTTGGTCTTCATAGCTGGTCCTCAGTGACTTGAGAATGTCGCTCTTTGGTTTGATTTGGTTTGATTTTTTTTTTTAATTTTTAACAGTGGATTTATAATTTAATCAAACCTGGAAGTCGTGTGTTCGTTACTTCTCTCAACAGTGCTCTTCCTCCTCCTCCTCGCTGGTCGCCAGAGTCAGGGTGCTGGTGTTGCCCAGTCCCGGAGCTCTGCTCCCTGGCCTCAGTGGGGGTTTCCGTGTGTGTCTGAGAGTCACTGGTCAGTTCTTGTGCAGGCTGAACCTGAAGTCCATCCCATGAACTTGTTTTATTTCTGATACTATATTTTTCAGCTCCAGTTTTCTTTGTGATTTTGGGTTTTGTGGCTTTCTTCATTACCTTCATGTTTTCTTTTAAGAAATACCATGGTTTACAACCAGAGATATGAAAAGTTGTGCTCTATATGTATAATATGAATTGTAATGCATTTTGTTGTCATATATAATGTATTAAAATTTTTAAAAATTTAAAAAAAGAAATACTATAGTGTGCTTGATTGTGTCTGAAGTTGCTGTTTTAAGATTCTTTCAGCTAATTCCRTCACTTTTGTCCTCTCTGTCCCTGATTACATTGTTGGCATTTGGTGCTACTCTTTGGATGTCAGGTAATTTTGATGTGATGCCAAATGTGGTGGAGTCACGCTGTTCGGTGTTGGAGCCTTGCTGTCCTCCTTCAGGCCCTGCACATTGTGGGTGCCAACAGCTGGCTTAACGAAGCCCCCTCCTCCCTCCCTCCCTTCTCGTCCCTCCCTTCATCCCCCTTCCTCCCTCCCCTCCTCCTTTGTCCCCCTCCCTTCGTCCTCCCCTCCCTCTTCTCCCTCCTGTCTCTTTCCTCCCTCTCTCCCGCAGTGGTTTGTGCAGGTTTCAGGGTGACGTGAAGATGCTCTCTGAACTACTGTTCCTCGTGAGGGTCCTGCTGCATGAGGAGGCCTCTGTTGCTTTTCCTTAATGAGCTTGCTTTTTTCCTTCCAGGGAACTACTCTCAAGTGATGCAATGAAAGAATACAACAGGGCTCGAGTTTACCTGGATGAAAACTACAAGTCACAGGAGCATTTCACGGTGAGTCCTCCCCCATGCTGTGGTGGACGCACCAGGCTAGGCGAGCCTGCCCTGAGGCTGGCCCTCCCAAGCCCAGAGTTGCTTCACACTGCGATTGGCCTCAATTCAGTTGTTGCCACCAACTGCAGGCTGCTGGGTGTTCTGATGCCACTGTGACCTGTGGGGTGGAGGGTGGARTAGTGATGGTGGCACACGGGTGCTTCAGGGCTGCCTCCTTGTCGGCTAGCCTGGTGGAAATGGAGATGCAACCGGCCAAGAGAGGGAGGCCCTCAGCTTCGGGTGTCTGGGAGTAAGAAGGCTGCTGCAGTCTGCAGGTTGTAGAGACAGGGGATTGCCCCCACACCTGTACTGCTCTGTTCCCGTGTGCCCATGTCCCTTTTTGAGCCCCTAGGAGACCCCTGGGAGCCGGCTTGCTTCAGGATACTATGGGATGCAGCCTCTGCAGAGCTGGGAAAGACCTGTCCCTCCTCTGTGAGAGTCTTGGGTTCTGTGGGACGGTGGCCCTAGTGAGGTCAGCAGCCTTGGGAGGTAGGAGGGGCCTTGGAGCTCCCCCAAGGAGATGTTTGCAAGGCTTTGAGTAACTATTTGTTGCTTCAGAGATGAAGTCTGCTTTAGTCTGCTTTTTTGCTGCTGTCACAAGCAATTTTATAGGAGGAAAAGTTTATTTTGGAGCTCACAGTTTCAGAGGTCTCAGTCCATAGACAGCCAGCTCCATTCCTTAGGGCCTGGGAAGAAGCAGAACATCATGGTGGAAGCCTGTGGTCAAGGAAAGCAGCTGGGAACAGGACATCCGGAAGCAGAGAGATATTAAGTTCAGCTCACCAAATGTACACCCCGAAGGCAGCCCCGTGGCTACCCCCTCCACCACACCCCCACCAGCCAGCAGTCACCACCCAGGTGACACTGTCAGGGGATCAATGCGCTGATCAGGTTCAGGCTCTCGTGGCCCAGACACTTCACCTCTGAACATCCTTGCACTATCGCACACATGAGCTTCTGGGGACACCTCATCTACACCCCAACAGCATCTCAGGCTCTTCCTCAGAAGCTTCAGGCTCCTTGGGTTGGGCTAGGTCTGTCCCTTGTCCTTCACAGCACCCTCTGTCACACYATCACATTTACAGCTACTTGCTTCTCTGACTTTTCCACAAGGTGGAGTCCTGGTGGAAAAGTGGTCCTTGTTCTTCAGCCTTTCTCTGCTCCTAGAACCTGACATGGGCAGAGCAGAGATGAAACCCTTGGTGAGAGAATTTTCTGTCAAGGTTTGTCYCTGGATTTGGGGCATTCGGTGCTGGGTGAGTGGTGCCCTATGGTCACGGAGACAGTCACAGAGCTGCAGATTCCTGGCAGATTCCAGAATCCCTGCAGCACCCCCAGACCCTTCTCCATGCCCCTCCACCTACATTTAGGGCAGCGTGCCTCCAGCTCTGACCAGTACACAGCCTCACTGCTTCCCAGTGGCCCTCCTCTCTGTGGCTGCCACCTCCCAGCTCTGGACTCATCCACCCCTTCKTAGAAGCTGGCCTCCCTCAGCCCTTTGCTTTCCTCTGCCAGGATCTAACTTCCTTCTTCCTAAATGGGACTTCTGCAAATGAAAAGACAGAATCTCAAAGAAAAACACACTGGTAGAATATACATCACATTGGACATGGCAGAGAGAAGAGAAAATGGCCCTGCAGAAAGCAGTGGTACTGTTGAGTGGAGCACACCTAAAAATGTCTTCCAGTGGCTGGGCAGCGTGGCTGAGAGAGGATGTCACGAGCCTGACCCTTGTGTCACTGGGGCCCTGACGGGTACAGAGGGGATGGACAGAGAGGATGTGTGAAGGAATAAGAGCTCAGGTTTCCCACAGCAGGCCCTCAGATCCAGGTATTATACCAGCTCCAGGCAGAGTGAGCATGAAGGCGACACGCRACACACGGTGCTGAGCACAGGTCCTGCAGGGAGCTCCTCGTGGCTGCCTGTCCTCAGAGCCTCTCCGACTGCCTCCTTCCTGCCCTGCACTGTGGCTTACTTCACTGTTGGCATTGCTGCAGGAAAGTCCCTCTGCTCTTCCCAGCCTCCTTTAACTGTAAAGACACAGGTGTTTTCAAGTAACAGGTGAGGAGAGGAGCCATGCTAGCACGGCCAGGAGAGAGCAAGGGTGGCCGTGCTGCTGTGGAAGTGACCTTTAGAACCGGGGCTGTGGCCAGAGCAAAGAGGGCTGCCTCCTGATGGCAGAGAGGTCTTCTGCACAAGCCCAGAGCAGTCCTGAGCGCCCAGTCTCCTGACTTTCACAGACAAGGAAACAGCAGAACCTGGTGAGAAGTGGGCAGGCCTGCCCAGCAGGGATCTGAATATGCCTGCCCTGTTAGCTTATGTGCAGGTGGACAAAGGCCTGTCCAGCAGCCTGCTCTGCAGTGTTGGTGGAGCCACYCGAGATGCCATACACCAAGAGGCAGAGCAAGGAGGGACGTCTGCCCAGCATCTGTGGCCCTGAGACCACGAGGTAGTGTGAGTGGGCTTAAGGGCCCAGTGTGAGGCTCACTGTCCTCACAGGCCTCTCAGCAGGAAGCTGAGGGGAGTTTTAGTAACCCTGTGGACCTCTGAGGGCTGCACATGCCTGCCTGTCCTCAAGGCTGGCTCGGGCTTTTTCTGGACAGGTTCCCAGAGGCCTGTGCTTGGGGTGTTCTGGTCCKGACCCTCTGAAGAGGACATTCCCAGGTCTGGATGAGTTCTAGGGCTCTTGGCTGCCTTCTTTCCAGGGTCTTCCCTGGCTTTGGCACTGACCACAGACCCTTCACCAGCACATGTGGGAGTCTGGGCCGTAAACAGACACCTCCASGAGACTGGAATTATGCGACATGTGTTATTGGATGTTGAGGGGTAAAATTAGACGTTAACTAAAAAGCTTTCTGAGAAATTGTCAAATATTTAGAAGTCAACCAAGTTGAATCCCATGATTCAGAGAAATGCCACAAAGAAAATGAGAAAATATTTCGAATTATACAAAAAACAAACTAAAAAACCTTCAGAATGTGTTGACTTGCCAAACAGTCTGCGTTGCGGATGTGCAGTGGTTAAGCTGGGTACCCAGCAGAGGGGGTGTCACCCTGTTGCTCAGACGGGAAGCGCCAGGCAGGAGCCTGTCCACTCCTGGTCAGGAACTTACCTCACACCACCTTGGACAGCACTACTCCTAGCCTGCAGAGGACGTATTCTCAAAGTCAAGGTTTCTGAAATGCCAGCAGCCAGGGCTGGGGCTCAGGGCAGCTGGAAAAGCTGCCTGAGGCCATTTTCAAGATTGCCCAGAGAAGTGGACCAGGGAATTGTGCTGCTATAAACACTGATGTGGCTGTGTCCCTGTAGTATGCTGTTTTTAAGTCCTTTAAGGAGAGGGATAGGTGGGTCAAATGGTGGTTCCATTCCTGGTTTTCCAAGGAATCTCCATACTGCTTTCCAGATTGGCTGTACCAATTTTCAGTCCCACCAGCAACGAATGAGTGTGTCTTTTCCCCCACATCCTCACCAACACTTATTGTTGTCTATATTCTTAATAGCTTCCATTCTGACAGGAGTGAGATGAAATCTTAGTTTTGATTTGCGTTTCTCTAATTGTTAGAGATGATGAACATTTTCACTGTCATATATAAAAAAATTAATAAAAATAAAATTTAAAAGAAGAGGACCAGGGAGGCAGGGTGTGATGGTACACACCTATAATCCCATTGGCTCAGGGGGCTGAGGCAGGAGGATCCTGAGTTCAAAGCCAGCTTCAGCAACTTTGCAAGGCCCTAAGCAACTCAGTGAGACCGTCTCTAAATAAAATAAAGGGATGTGGCTTGGTGTTTGAGTGTCCCTGAGTTCAATTCCCCTGTACCAAAAAATAAATAAATAAATACAGAAAAAATAAAACAGTGGGCCAGGGAACAGAAGCAAGTCCTAGAGCTGTTTGGTAGGAGGCGGGGCGTGGTGTGCAGTGTGTCTGCTGCTGTGCCTGGCTTAGTGGTGCCTGCAACCTGGTGTCCCTCCTGGGGGCACCATGCCTGCAGCATGGTCCTGTGTGGGCTACCTTTGTTGTTGGTGGGTAGCTGTGGGCAACAACCACCCACCAAGGTTTGGTGGTGGTCCGGCTGCTCCAGCTGCCTGCAGCCATCATGGGTTGGCCCCAAAGTGATGACACTGTTGTCCCTGGTTGTAACCGAGACTGGGGTCCTGAGCACCCCCATTTTATGTCCCCTCAGCATGTCATGACCTTGAGTGAGCCTCTAGGTGTCTTGATGGAGAGCACCTGACTCCCTCAGCAGGACTGGGTGGCATTGGCCAGCCAGGCAGCCCTCCTACCCAGCCTGGTGCCCTCTGGCTTCAGACCGAGGGACATTCAATCTTTACAAGATTGATGGTATCAGAGCAGTATTTTCAGCTGAGTCTGGTTCAAATAATAGGCCATTAATTGTAGAAGGAAATTGAAATGAATTTATCTTGTACATAAATGCTGTCATGGGCATTAATAGGGATCAGACTATAGTGGCCTGTTCCCAGAAAGCTCCTGAACTGCTGCACCTGCTGTGCAGGCTGACTGTGGGGGTGGACTGGTGGTGGTGGGGTCTGCTGCTCCTCTAGTGGGGATGCCTGGGAGCTTTGGGAGAGGCAGGGGACTTGCGAATGACCTTTATGGCCAGGAGGTGGCGCCAGCACAGCACCTGCAGCCCTAGTGCTCCCTGAAGGAAATGCTTTTAAGGGGATGGGTGTACTTTAATGGTGACACTGAATTTCGAGTGTTTGCAAGAACCCTCCTATGTGGCTGTTGGCATAAGCAGGAGGCTCATTGGGTCTACGCAGAGACAAGCACACCTCCCTCTCTGGGCTCCCTTGGTGGCATCCCTCTCCCCAACCTCTGTCACAGCTAGTGCCTTGCCTGCCTGTGCTTTCTATGGAAAGTTAGTGTCGAAGTCTGTTTTTTTCCAGAGTTGCTGCTCGTCTGGCACATTCAGGCCTTAGCACTGGAAGACCAGGTCCTC